ATTCCAGAGTTTTGTCCTCCAGTAGCAATTCTGAGAATAGATTCCTGTTCTGAGTTACCCAGCTTGTGGTACTTTGCTGGGGCAGCCCTGGGAAATGAGTAAACTTGTTGTGCTTCTGAGGTGTCTTTGTTCCCTTTTTAATTCCAGGTACATACTGCTGCTCATTCTAAATTTCCTCTTGTCCAACCCAAGTTTAGAGCCCTAAGTGGCCTGTGCTAAGTTTTCTTCCCATCCAAGGCTCTGTAAGAGGCCACGGCCCAAACCAAGGGTTTGGAATAGTCAAAGTTTCTGCCCAGATATGATGCCCAGGTGTTCTCAGCCATGGGTTTGGGGATGATGGATCCCTAAAAATCTTGAACATCTAGACTTTAACATTGTCATCCACTGTGCTGGCTTCCAGCCATAGGTTCTGTGCTGCTTCCAGCTCCCTTCTCTGCTGTTGGAGATTATTTGGGGACTGACCGTGAGGCCAAGTGAATGAAATAGATGGCAGAAAAGACAAAGGCTAAAAAATCCCCTGCTCCTACTGGCTTCCCAGACAGTGTCCAAGGAATAAAATAGCTTGAGCCATGGGCCACACCATATTTCTGTCTTGCCTGTAGCTGTTTTGTTAAGGAGCCTGAACTAGCCTTGGAGGAACAGCTTTCAGTGCTACAAGGGAAGCACAGAGTGGGGATAGCTGATGGGAGTCGTTTCAGTGGTTTAGGCTGACTTGGTGATTCTAGGCATGCCTTAGGCCCGTGGCTTGCTTCTTCATCTGTACGTGAATGTGTGAGTAGGGAGTGAGAGGTTCATGTAAACCTCATGTTGTAGGCCCAGCTGTGTGGCCATGGGAGGGTGTTTGGCATGACTCGGGTGGAAAACTTTTTTGCCTACACTTATCATGCCAGAGCAATTTAATATTTCAGTAAGAATTTAGGGGATGGACTCATCTTGGAGTCGTCTTCTTGGCCTGTATTCTCACCAGTGTTTTGGGTATTTGTCGAAGAGAACTTGTGAGTTCTTAACTGAGTATTCTGGGCCTATGGAGTCAGGAGAATAGCACGTTTGTACCTCTGCTGAAGGTAGGAGCTACCTTGGCGTTTGGGGTGAAGAGATGTGTGGGGTTTCTCAGTGTAGTGGATGGTCGTGGAGCCTAGGAGACCTAGATGCCTCAGTTCTTCTAATTCGTTGAGCTTTGGTGCATCCCTCTCTTGGGGTGATGATCATGGTGCCACCTCAGAGGGCTGTTGACGATGTGAGATGCACATAGAGCACAGCATCTGGCTCGCTGTGAGCTCTCTGGCGAGGTTAGCCATTGAGATAGTTTGGCTGTGTCTCCACCCAAATCTCATCTTGAACTGTAGTTCCCATAATCCGCATGTGGAAGGGACCTGGTGGAAGGTAATTGAACCATGGGGGTGGTTACCTCCATACTGTTCTTGTGATAGTGAGTTCTTATGAGATCTGATGGTTTTATAAGGGGCCTTTCCCACCCTTCACTCTGCACTTCTCCTTGCTGCCAGCATGTGAAGAAGGACATGTTGCTTCCCCTTCCATCATGATTGTGAGTTTCCTGAGGCCTCATCAGCTCTGCGGAACTGCGAGTCAGTTAAACCTCTTTCTTTAATAAATGACCCAATTTCAGGTATGTCTTTATTAGCAGCGCGAGAACGGACTAATACAGCCATGATCACTAGCTGAGTGTGCTGCTGGTGTCACCTGCCATACTCCTGTAGACCTCAATCTTTACAGAGTAGAAAAATGAAGCCTGATATCCCCAAGGGCTCTTTTTGTATATCAGAATCTCCGTCATCTCCCACCTGTCAAACTGGTTTGGAGCAAGCAGCCTGACATAAGGCGTGTGACCTTCACAAAGTCATGTTGTGAAAGTAGCAGTTTCCAGAACTAGGCAGTGTAAGTGAGAGCTCGAAACCACTTAGTGGATGAGGGTATCCTGATTTTCACTTTGAAAAGTGGAGATATTATCGGAACATGAAAGGAAGCCTGTTCTGCAGAATCAACCAGTGAGGCATCCCTTCTATGGTCAGGATCTTGTAGTTGCTGTGTCAGTTAATCTGCTTTTCTATTTAGGCCATTGAAATAAAATTATATCTAAAACCTTGAAGTAAGGTACAAAAGAGTCTACAACTTCCTGGAACGCAGCCTAGACTCTGGAGTTCAACAAAGATGGAGCACTGGAAACAGGGGTCTTAAGATCCCCCAATAGATTATGCAACACTGCTAGGGTGCCTTGAAGATCCTTTCCGGTTCTTCTTCTTCTTTTTTTTTTTTTCTTCTTTATTTTCCTTTTTTTTTTTTGAGACAGAGTTTCTATCCTGTCGCCCAGGCTGGAGTGCAGTGGTGCACTCTCAGCTCACCACAACCTCCACCTCCTGGACTCAAGCAATCCTCCTGCCTCAGCCTCCCAAGTAACTGAGACTACAGGTGTGCACCACCATGCCTAGCTAATTTTTGTAATTTTAGTAGAGATGGGGTTTCACCATGTGGTCAGATTGGTCTCGAACTCCTGAGCTCAGGTGATCTGCCCTCCTCAGCCTTCCAAACTGCTGGGATTACAGGCGTGAGCCACCGCGCCCGGCCCCTTTCAGAATCTTCTGAGAATTGTCTTATCGTCATATTCCTTACACGTTTGGTTACCGACTTTCCCAGTACATCATTGGAGAAAGCAAAGGGAAAAAGGGGAAGGAGAGAAGTAACATTTGTTAAATGCTGACTGTGTGCCAACCACTTGACATGATGCATGTTATCCCCATTTTACAGATAGGGATGTAGAGGCTGGGGGAGGTAAAGTAACTTGATTAAGTTTACCCTGCTATGAAGTAGTGGGAGTTGGGATTTGAACCACTAAGGAGCACATCTAGGTTATTGTAAGCAAATAGCGGGATAATGGTTGAGCACACTGGCTCACACCTGTTATCCTAACGCTTTGGGAGATTGAGGTGGGCAGATTGCTTGAGCCCGGGAATTCAAGTCCAGCCTGGCTCATCTGGCAAAACCCTGTCTCAAAAAACAAAAACAAAAACAAAAACAAAAATTAGCTGCAAGTGGTGGTACATATCTGAAGTCCCAGCTACTCAGGAGGCTGAGGCAGGAGGATCAATTGAGCCTGGAAAGTTGAGGCTGCAGTGAGCCATGATTGTGCTACTGCGCTCCAGCCTGGATGACAGAACAACAGTAACAACAACAAAACAAAACACATGAAGAATACTCACCAAAAGATCAAATTAGCTTCTCTGCCTCCGTTGAAGAAGGTAAGAAAGTATATACCAGAAATCCCTCAGAAATATTAATGGTTAGAATTATTTTTAAAGTTTTGTAAGTGCAGGGCAAATTGCTGTTTTCTGGAAAATTCTTCTGGAGGAACACCTTGCTCTCTAAAGGGGCCAGATAAATGAGATTCTGCTTGATTTTAGTGCTAACTTATACGTCCGGTTCTTCTTTGTTGTTATTAAGCAGCAAAGAGAGACAGATGGTTGCAGACTGGGAGGCTTTTCTCTTTATCTTTACTGTATTTATAGATCTGACTCTATCGGGGGTGCTTTTAAGTAAGTAATTATTTGGGGGCATTGTTGCTCTTTTTAGTTCAGTGCGTTAAGTATCACTCTCTACCTGCTTCCTGACCTTTATATTTTTATTTTTATTTTTTTAGTACTTCCCAGTGAGAAGGGATGTGGCCTCCCAGCTGGTGTTTGTCAGGGTTACATGGTACATGTGCAGGAAGGGCCACATCAGCAGGCCTTGAGTAATCCATCCGCAGTCTCGAAGGATGAATCATTCATGAAAGCAGTTTTCCATCCCGCTCACTGGATGCAAGCCTTTCTTGCAAAGCTGATTTTTTTTTTTTTTTTTTTGCAAAATTAACCTTTGCTTTCTGCTCGATGCCCACACAGTTTTTGAAATACGAAGCCCACAGAGTTGTATTGTTTTTTTCTAAGTAAGTCTAATGGACTGGGCACTTGTAACTTCAGTTATGATGCAAGGTATTGAATTCTACCTGTGAAATCTATGGAGGTCATTGCCTGTGGACTTAGAAGTGCCTAGCAGAGTTGAATGTGGTACGTGGGCTGTGTGTGTATGTACGTATTTTTGATCCATATGGCTGAAGTCGTGGTTCTTACTATTACTATATGATTATGTATTTTAAAAATATAGCTCCTTGAGATTTTAACTAGTTTTAAAACTCAAAGTATGTGAAAGGGTTTGCATTTGAAAGAGGGGGGAAAAGGGCCTATTTAATATCCAGGGTTGATAAGCTAAGGCATGCCACCCCTTCTAAATCCACCCTTTCATCCTTTACCCCCATTTCTCACACTACCTTTTTTGTGTTTTGTGCATTTTTATTTTTTCTGAATTGCAGCAGTGCAGACAGGGAGAAGAACTAAAATCACTATAGCTGGTCTCTGCTGCTCATTACGTTTTAGTGGGATAAAACCTTGTCTTGCCCTCCTAGTTGAAGAAGCAGCTGAATTGCATCTTTGAATGTTGCTGGGTTTTGTGCCAACCTGCCAGCTGCTGGGGCAGACCAGCAGCTCGAGTGTCTCCTTTGCTGTGGAAGCAGAACTACCTCCCCATTATTTGACAGGCGGGAAGTGGTGAGGTTAGCAAAGCAGGGATCGAAGACTTCAGGTGTCCCAGCTCCTACCCCAGAGGTTGGTTGCAGACACACGTTTATAAAACATCAGTATGTGGAGCCACCTTCTCTGAGGTTGTCTTGTTGTCTTGATATGTATGTTTCTTCCTTAGAAAAGCACGTCCCAGGTGGGCATGATGGTTCACGCCTGTAATCCCAGCACTTTGGGAGGTTGAGGCGGGTGGGTCATTTGAGCCCAGGAGTTGGAGACCAGCCTGGGCGGCAAGGCAAAACCCTGTCTCTACAAAAAATATAAAGATTAGCCGGGTGTGATAGCACACACCTGGAGTTCCAGCTACTCAGGGGACTGAGGCAGGAGGATTACTTGAGCCCAGGAGCTCAAGGCTACAGTGAACCATATTCATGTCACTGCACCCCAGGCTGGGTGAAAAAGTGAGACTCTATCTCAAAAAAAGAAAAGAAAAGAAAATCACATCCAAATACTTTTAAACGTTCATGTGCCAGATTTAATATTCAAGTTGCTAACATGTTATCTGTATGTAAAAAAAAAATGTTCTTCTAACCAGACTTCTTCCAGACTTGTTTTGATCAGTCTCAACCGGCATATGTCATTGGCACATTTAAGCACAGGTATGTAATTATTAGCAATAGTGAGATGTTCTACAGTGGAGTGCCCATGTCACCTGAGATGTGGTGAACAGTTTCAAATATCCTTCATTTTCTGGTATTCAAAAATGAGGAAATGACCTCAAATTTCAGTGCTATGGTAATTCCCCTAGTTATCTCCTAATTCTGTGCTCAGTTTTTGATGCAGCAATTGAAGCACAGAGTGCTCCCATGCTAGGCAAAAATGATATCACATTTTCTGGGGAAATGTATCCAAAGATCAATCTGTAATAGAAAAACAGTATTCACTGGGCACTTAGGTTTATATTATGATAGCAGATACTTGAGAACTTTCTCAGAGTAGAAGCATTCTGTGGGTTTCATGGTGGCCCATAAGTTAATTGGCAGCTGGAGTGTGAAATAATTGACCCCCGAGATAATGGGTGTATAATGAGGAGACTGGGGTTCCTAACTATCGAGCATGCTTCTATGGGATGTCATTGAGGTGTTTCCTGTTTCCGTGAACAGTGTCTAGTTTTTTCTTTTTTGACCCTCTATTTTCATCACTTCTCAGATGAGACCCTGGTTGTGGGCAGAGGGCATGTGATACATTCTCTTAAACATCGGGTCTGCTTCCCTCTGTTTAAACTCAAGTTGGACAGACAAACCCCTTCACTGAATGCAAGCTGGCTGGTGCTCTGCGGTTTCTGAGATCAGCGCACAAGGCCAAACCCAGTTTGTCAATAACAGCTTCTTCCTCATTGCTTTATGTTTCTAATGAAACAGCTCCTATCTTGTAGTACACAAAGGGGAAATATGAGGCTGGAAAGCAACATAGAATTCTTCATTCCAGACAGCAGCCAGTGGGCCCACTGATTAAGTGATGGTTGTGCTTAATGAGAGAAGAAAAAAGACATCTAATAGCTAAAGTTTGCCTAAACGTAATCATCACTTCCCGTGTAGCAATTCCATTTTTCTAATACTTGAATGTCTTATTATATAAGAAAGCAAGGTACTTATTTATTTTTACAACCTTACCTCTAGTTTCTGTGAACGTTTTCATGATATAAATTTGTTTCTTTCTCAAAATAGATAAAAGACACCAACCGTCTTTTTTAATCTACTGAAGCACATGAATAGTGCTCATGTCCATTTTAGGATACTTCTTTTGTAAGCTATGATATAGGTCTTCCCCACCAATGGTGGCAGCTTCTGTAGAGGCAATTTACAAAAACACGAGCACCCCTACCTCCCACCTACAGTTTTTGCTTTCTATAAAAGTGTTGAGTATGTCATAGCTAAGTGGAATGAAATGTCCTCCTCCAGAGAAGAATCTCTTACTAAAAGTAGCCCAGAAGTTTACTGTTGGTGCTTAGAAAATAATTGAAGGATGTGGAAGAAGAATTACAAAGACATGCACACACATGCACTTGCACACATACAAACACACACACACACACACGTTTATGAGTCACTGACTGGCAATCATAATAAATTATTTCCCCAAAATGAATTTTAAGCCTGCAGACTCCAGAGAGGTTGCCTCACCGGCCTGGAGCAGTGCTGGGTGGAGTTGTTTACTCTCCAGTGGCAGCCTTAGGGCTCTTCAGGTATATGCGCTCTTAGGCCTCTGTTACCTTCTGTCACTGGGAGACAGGCAGCGAGCGTGTGCACCAGAAACTGCTGCCATGCCTGTCGCCCTCTATAATGTGCAGATTTTGCTGACTTTTCTCTGAAACCGTAAGAAAAGATCTAGGGACCAGCTGAATCACTTGAACTACGTGAGTTAACTAAGCAAACTTGCAGCTACCCAGGAATTTGATTTTATATGGTGAAATTCTTAGCCTTGAGATTCTCTCTCTCTCTCTCTCTCTCTCTGTGTGTGTGTGTGTGTGTGTGTGTGTGTGTGTGTGTGTGTGTTTTGAGATGGAGTTTTGCTTTGTTGCCCAAGCTGGAGTGCAGTGGCATGATCTCGGCTCACTGCAACCTCCACCTCCCGAGTTCAAGTGATTCTCCTGCCTCAGCCTCCGAGTAGCTGAGACTACAGGCATGTGCCACCATGCCCAGCTAATTTTTTGTATTTTTAATAGAGACGGGGTTTCACCGTGTTAGCCAGGATGGTCTCGATCTCCTGACCTCGTGATCCGCCTGTCTCGGCCTCCCAAAGTACTGGGATTTGCAGGTGTGAGCCACTGTGCCCAGCTGGTGTTTTGTTTGTTTGTTTGTTTTGTTTTTTAAATTTATTTTTTAGAGCAGTTTTAGGTTCCCAGCAAAACCGAGCAGAAGATACAGAGATTTCCCAGGTACCTCATTTCTCTATGCCTGCACAGCACCCCCACTGTCATCATCCCTCACCAGAGTGGTCCATTCATTGCAATTGATTAACCTGCATTGACATTATCATGACCCAAAGTCCATAGTTTACTCTTGGCGTATCTTCTGTGAGTTCTGACAAATGTATCATGATATATATTCACCATTCTAATATCATACAGGGCACATTTTCACCGCCCTAAAGATCTGTGCTCCACCTGTTCATCCCTTTTTCCTCCAACCCTTAGCACCCATTGATCCGTCTGTTGTCTCCACATTTTTGTCTTCTTTAGGATGTCATGTATTTGGAATCTTGCAGCATGTGACCTTTTCAGATTGACTTCTTTCACTTAGTAGTATGCATTTATGTTTTTTCTGTGTCTCTTCATGGCTGGATAGCTCATTTCTGTTTAGTGCTAAATAAGATTCTGTCATCTGGATGCACCATGGTTTATCCATTCACCTACTGACGGGCATCTGGGTTGCTTTCAAGTTTGGGCAGTCATAAAGAAGGCTGCCATAAACATCTGTGTGCAGGTTTTCATACGTTTTAAACTCATTTGGGTAGATACATGACCCAGTGTAATTGTGGGGTAATATGGAAAGAATATGTTTAGTTTTTTAAGAAACTGCCAAACTGTCTTCCAAAGTGGCTGTACCATTTTGCCTACCTTCCATCAACAAATAAGAGGTTTCACTGGTCCACATCCTTGCCAGCATTTGGTGTTGTCAGTGTTTTGGATTTTGGCCATTCTAATAGGTGTGTAGTGGTATCTCATTGTTGCTTTAATGTGCAGATCCCTAATGACATCTAATATTGAGCATCTTTTCACATGCACGTTTGCCATCTGTACATCTTCTTTGGTGAGATATCTCATCAGGTCTTTTTCCTGTTTTTAATTGGGCTATTTGTTTTCCTATTGGTGAATGTTAAGAGTTATTTGTATATTTTGGATAATAGTTCTTTATCAGATTTATTTTTTGCAGTATTTTCTCCCAGCCTATAATATCTTCTGATTCTTTTGATGGTGTCTTTTGCAGAGCAGAAGTTTTTAATTGTAATGAAATCTAGCATTCCAATTATTTTTCATGAATTACTCCTTTCGCCTTTAGTGTCGTATCTAAAACAGTATTGCCAAACCCGAGGTCATCTAGATTTTCTCCTTTGTGATTTTGTAGAGTTTTACAATGTTGTGTTTTGGTTTTTTTAATTAAATAAAAAGGGATTGGTGGTTTTTGTTTCTTGGTAGAAACATAGTTTGTTTCTTCACCAGTGACATAGCCAATAACTTAAGTAAATAAATGAATGACTAGGAAACTCTTGACTAGGCCAACCCCCATAGCCTTAATAACCACAACATAACATTAATATGAAAGACTAATCCTTCAGTTTATCTTTTATGTCTATCCAGAACTTTAGTCCTGTGAGCTGTTTTGTAAACGAGATTTGTTTTGTGGGAAAGGGAATTTTATTTCAACACTTCCCTAAGAAATTGATCTCATTGGGTAATTCTTAAATTTGACTTAGCGTAGTAATGTATCTGGAAGAAATTTATCAACTGATATGTTATTATTTTTTAATTTTTTAAAATTTTTGAGACAAGTCTCATTCTCTTGCCCAGACTGGAGTGCAATGGTGTGATTATGGTTCTCAGCAGCCTTGAACTCCTGGGCTCAAGAGATCCTCCCACCTCAGCCTCCTGAGTAGCTGGGACTAAAGGCGTGTGCCACCGTGCCTGGCTAGTTAATTTTTTTTTTTTTTTTTTTTAAGTAGAGGTGAAGTCTTGCTGTGTTGCCCAAGCTGATCTCACACTCCTGAGCTTGAACAGTCCTCCCACCTTGGCCCCTCAAAAGTGTTGAGATTACAGGTGTGAGCCACTATGCCCAGCCTGATATGTTTTAATTCTAACAGTAGATCTGCATAGAGAGAAAAGTTGGTATTATGAACAAAGGTAGCTTTAATTCCAAGAGACAACCATCCCCATTCCATGACCTCTTTTCACCCAAGCAAGGAAATTTATTGAGGCCAGTAACATTTTAAATGCTTTTTGGAGTTATTTCCATGTACTTTCTTTCTTATTGTGTAAGATTTGACTTTTTTTATTTTAAAGGAGTTTCTTCACATGGATAACTCAGTTTGTATAGCCTAATGTAATCTCAGCAATAAGTCAAAAGTTTTTCTTCTCTAGGGCTATATAGTTCTCTGACATAGGAAATCATTCTTAGTTCCATTATGTTGAGAAGAAACAGAGAAGCATTTTACATCCAAGTGCACTAGCAGCTGTTTTGTTATGTAGCTGCTCCGTGCAGAGCCCAATACTGAGAATTTTAAGAAGTCACTGAAATATGTCAAAGCATGAGGATGGGTCTGGATCTCCTCACTCTAGATGCCTGTACCTTTTTTCTGTAGACAGTGAATGAAATTTTGGAAAGTGAACTGCACATGTGGGAAGCATTTGTGTGTGTGGGTGGAGAAAGCATCTAACGGAACTGAGCTGGGAGAAGTAGAGCTTGGTCCCAGGTGTCCCAGCTGGAAGAGCTTGAAGCCAGACAGACCCAGGGAGCCCTGTGTTCGAGGCCACCTGCACTGCTCACAAGCCACGGGCCTTGGGAAGCCCTTTCTTGGACCTTGCTTGTGGAGTTGAGATGGGGGTCTGAGTTATTCTGCAAAGTGGTTCCCATTGAGCTACAAGTGACTTTCTCTTCCTCCACATTCTCCTTACCTCAAAACGGAACAAACTTCTTGGCAAAATACCATTTAACATAATTTGGCCACACTGAACATTTATGGAGTCTGTACTGTTAAGAATTGATAAGTATTCCACATAAAATCTAAACATTATTCTTTTCTTTATGAAATGTTTGGTGTAATGCACAAAAACTTGAAGCTTCAGCTTTTAATAACATTGACTTTATTTCCACTTCTCTTTAGAAGTGCGAATTGCTTCACGCTGGGGTCAAAGAAGGGAAGTCTATGTGAAGATTTGAATTGTGACCTCTTCCTTCATTTACAAAAAAAAAAAAAAAAAAAAAAAAAAAAGACTTAAATTACTCATGCCCTCAGTTTAAATTTGTGACTGACATTTGCAACTATGGAATGATTCACTTTTCCTTGTAGCAAGAAAATTTGAAAATGAAAGCAAAACGATGCTCATATTCAAACTGAACCTACGGTGAAAAGATGTGTGCTGATGGCTTCGTTGCTCTGAAAACACACACGACAGAGATGTCTGTCTGTTGTTCAGCACCTTATTTTCCTCTTCCTCTGAGCATCTTAGAGAGGGATGACTGTGCACGTTGCCCCATGCGCAGGAGGTGGTGTATAAAGATCTTTTGGTTTAGATCGTGGCTTACAGACTCTCATTTAGGCCATGGAATGGTACATTCCAATACCATGAGTGGTTAAATCCCAGGAATTCCAAAGTGTATGAACGGGGCAATGTCAGCTATACTCTCATTTCATGCTACGTAGCCAGATGTCGTGTAGCTAATCTCAGCAGTTACTATACATAGTATGCTATACCTGACTGATTTAAGGTAAACTGCCTCAGTTTCCTCATCTGTAAATTATGGCTTTTGACTAAATAATAGCTTAGTTTTCATAGTGAACAAAATGCTTAAATAACAGTTTAGCTGTGCAAACACGTTTTGCAGAAAAACGGCCCTATCACCAATAGTACCTGCTCTAGTGCTTTTAAAAATTAGAATGAAATTTTGCTTGTCCATTTTTGTTTTTGAGACAGTCTCACTGTGTCGCCCAGGCTGGAGTGCAGTGGCGCCATCTTGGCTCACCACAGCCTCAAACTCCTGGACTCAAGCGATCCTCCTGCTTCAACCTCCTGAGTAGCTGGGACCACAGGTGCATGCTAGTATGCCTAGCTAATTTTTTAATTTTTTGTGGAGACGAGATCTCACTATGTTGCTCAGGCTTGTCTCGAACTCCTGTGCTCATGTGATCCCCTGACCTCGGCCTCCCAGAGTGCTAGGGTTATAGGTATGAGCCACTTCGTCTGGCCTTGGTTGTACTTAAAAAACAAAAACAAAAATAAAAGAAAAACAGAAAACTTGTCTTGGCTCCCAGGAGCATTTATATGACTAACAACTTACCTTTCCTTGCTGATAGTTCCAGTTTCCTGAAAATGTGTTTGACAGAAATGGCTCTTAGTTTAGGAACTCCTCATTAGTTGTTTCCAGGAGTGGTGGGGTATCATTTTGATGCTTCTTTATTTCTTCTACCCAACTAAAATACAGGGTGAAGATACGATGTCTCTGAAATGATAAAGCTACATTTGTCAAAAAGCACATATGTTCCATTCGACATTTTGGCTTCAAGAAATGAAAACTACAGAATGACTTTTTCCTTTATCTGAGTCTACGCTGTGTAGTTACCTATTTAAAAAGATATACAGATGAAAAATAGTTTTTGAAATGAACTTGTCTGAATCAAGACGCACAGTCTCGCAGCAACATCATGGGGCCTCTCTGTTGCTGAGGAATCTGTCCCCATTTGTATGGGCTGGCTGGGTGTCTGGCTGTGGGAGGCACACATTGGTGATCTTGGTACAGCAGTTTGCAGTCAGCTGACTGACTTGCTCCTGCACGTGCATTTTTTTCCCCTGGCAAGTCATAATTCATGTTTTTCCTGAGGTCCAACCCTATTATAACTGACAGATCCTAACTGGCTGAGAAACATGGGCACCCTTCTCTTCTTGCCTCTTGTTCCCAACATATTTGTATGCTTTCCAATAGGAAGCTGACCTGGAGTATATGCCCAGGGTTGTCTGAGGTGTCTTAATGGAAGGTGTGGTCTGAAACCAGCTAACCATGGCAGCATTAGGGCAAGAGCGCACACGTAAAGGACTTGTGAAGGAGGGTGGAGGGTGGGAAAGTGGGAGGGGCGAGAGCTACCGTGAATGAAACCGAAGAGAAACAGAAGTTGTGGCTGGCATGCAGGAAAAACCCAGATTCCCATTCACCACTTCCTCTCGTTTCCAGAAGTTACCCACCATTCCTCTCTATTTTGCAATCCTCTCTATTTCCCCTGAAGGTTCTGCTTTGAATACTCTCTTCCTAGCAGAAATGTTGAAGGGAAGTAGCTCAGCCCAGTTCCCTTCTGGGCCACCACTTTCAACTATAGACGTTCTAGTCAGAGCCAAGAAGGCCACGGACTGGGAGGATGGCGTTTAAAGTCTCTGCCGGGCTCCACTTAGTTCCCCTTTCCCTACAGATGCCTTATTCCCTCGAAATGCAAGCGAGGCTCCTTGGCCACAGTTTCCTTCCCCCTTCTGTCCACATTCCAGTCTCTAGTTCATCATCTCAAGAACACTGGTGCACCCTCCTCTCCCTGCCATAAGAGCTGTCATTTAGTTGTGATCCACAAATCTGCTAAAGAGAAAGGTGCCCTGCTATCATTTTACAAAGGCTTGCTTGGAACACATTCCTGCCATTCTTTTTTGCTGCTCTGTAGCCTGAGTGATGATTTGTTTAGTGTAGGAGTAAGTGTGAGGGGCACTGTATTTCTTTAAAAAACAAACAAACAAACAAAAAAACTTTTAGTGACATATGCTCATTGGAGGAAATAAATTAGAAATAAATAATATTGAAAACAAACATCCCTCAATCAAGTGACAGCCACAATATAGCACGTTGGTGAAAGTGGTCTTAATTTAAAAAGAAAGTCCATCTCTCTAGGTATCTGAGCAATTCATTACTATTCTGTGTAATTTTTGTGGGTTCATGATTAATTTTGTAGATTGGAGATTTACTAGCATGTGATACCTTTTATAGGATATTTTACATTAAATTATCTTCCTCCCTAGCACATTGCCTAATTCTGTCACTTGTATTATTGAGGAAACATTTGCAAGCAGGACGAAAACCTGTCTGCAGATACTTAAGCTTTGAGTTGTTTTGTTCTGAAATGCAAACACTATCAATTGGGTTAAGTCTCCCAGCCCCTAAGTGGGGTTATTTATGTTTTTTTTAGGAAAGAGAGGAACTTGGGAAGTAAATGAGAAGTGCCCAGGGCCGATGGCCAGAGTCTTAGAGGAAACATAAACCTCTAAGATCCAGTGAGTATCCACAAACTTAGAGCACTGCAAAAGAAACAGTTGGGTTAGCATTTTATTAGGAAGGTCAGAGATGATTTGGAAAGTTAACCCTTCTAATTGGTAATTACCCTCAATATGTGTCCGTGGTGGCATGCTGTGTGCATTCACTACTTTTTTTTTTTTTAGTGGGAAAATAACAACATGACTCTGCTGCATGTCCCAGGAAGAGGCCACAGAAATGAAACCTCAGGGTCACATGCCAAGAAGGAGATTCCCTTGACATATTTCAGAGCTGATGCTTAATGGACCTGAAGCAGTTTGCTTTCTTTCTTTCTTTCTTTTTTTTTTTTTTTAGAGAGAGGTTTTGCCCTTTGACCCAGGCTGGAGTGAAGTGGCACGATCTTGGCTCAATGTAACCTCTGCTGCTCCCGCACAACCCGGTTCAAGCGATGCTCCTGCTTCAGCCTCTCGAGTGGCTGGGATTACAGGCATCCCCGCCACACACTTGTCTAATTTTTGTATTTTTAGTAGAGACGGAGTTTCACTATGTTTGCCAGGATGGTCTCGAACTCTTGACCTCAGGTGATCCACCCACCCTGGCCTCCAAAGTGCTGAGATTGCAGGCGTAGTCACTGTACCCGCCCCGTTTACATTTTTTTTTCTCTTTTTGAAGATGGAGTCTCGCTCTATTGCCCAGGCTGGAGTGCAGTGGCCGGATCTCAGTCACTGCAAGTCCCGCCTCCCGGGTTTAAGCGCCATCTATCCTGCCTCAGCCTCCAGTAAGCTGGGACTACAGGCGCTGCCACCTCGCCCGGCTAGTTTTTTTTGTGTGTGTGTGTTTTTTAGTAGAGACGGGGTGTTCACCGGGTTAGCCAGGATGGTCTCGTCACCTGACCTTGTGATCGCCTGTCTTGGCCTCCCAGAGTGCTGGGATTACAGGCTTGAGCACCGCACCCGGCCCTGCATTTTTTTTTTTTTTTTTAACAGGGCAGAGACTGAAGGGCACTTGGAGCTATCGGGCCGGCTTTAGAGACCTGATTCTGTGCAGACCGTGGTAATTCCCATGTGGTCGATGCGGTTCCGACTTGAAGGGCACAGTACCCTTCGGTTTCAATACCAAGAAATGCCCTTTTGAAAGGGTCTTGAAAGGGGACTTGACATTCTAGGATTTAATTATTAGGAGCAGAGGCAATGAGATGCAACTCTGAAACAAATGTTCAACCACTTGAGTAGAAGAGGAAACAGAGTGAATTAAAACTTGAAAAGTGATCTTCAAATCGGCTTCCCTCCTTGTAGGCTGATGAAACGACAACTAGCATCTCCAGCTAAGAGTGTGTATAATTAGACAGCCCTGTAGGCTATATCTCAAGTGAGAAAAGAAACATGCCCTTTTCTTAGCCTTTCCTTATTTTTGGCCTGTATTTGGGAACCTTTTTTTTTTTTAGTTTATTTTTTATTTATTTGTTTTTTTAATTGCGCTTCTACAAAGGGCTCTGCAAGTTACGGAGCATGAGGATATATACAAAAGCTTTAGCTTCATTTAGGACATATTCTCTAATTTCTGAAACTTCAGAGTAATTTAGCATTTGATGACCTAATATTGCATTTCCTCAATTTTGTTCTATAAGTAGCATTCATCAGAGCCAAGTTTATTTTATGTTGGTGGCATTCAGTAAGTGATACATCACAAGGAAAGATTGGATACTGTGGCGTATCAAATATACTTTGAACTGTGTTCTCTGGCAATGCCATAGATTGTAACTGCAACTGACAACTTGTACTTCTAAGAGAGCATTTATCATTGTTGGGTGTGCGTTGTGTCTGTCTGCTGATTAGCTTGTGAACTCCCTCAGGTTATCCATCTCATAGAGGCCAGTGTCTAGCACAGAATAGGTACCCGCTGAAGGTATCCTGAGTGGAATTGAGTTGCAACAGTGTGTTATAGATAGTGTAGTTCACAAGGAAAAATAGTCATCACCGAGCAGAACTGCACCTTGCAGCCCTCCATGATTTTAGGGGAGAGCAAATACAAAACACGTTTTCAGACGGGTGAGTCTGACTAATTTGGAAAATTGAATGGACTATTTTCTAATTTTTTTTTTTTTTTGGCATCTGGGATATACAGCAACAGTGAAAGTTACTTTTTAAAAATGGGCTGAAGAGTGAGAAATGAATCTGACTTATCAAATCCACAGAGGGATTTATTACTTACTGTACCTTTATTATTTATTATTACTTTATTACTTATTATACCTTTATTATTTATTACTCCTTTATTACTTTATTATTTATTACACCTTTATTACTGTGCTGCTCTTCATCCCATGCCTGCCTGCTTTCATGACAAGTCGCAGTGAAGTTGTATTTGGCTACGAGAAGTGACTTGCCTTCAGGGTCACTGTGAACCATGTGGGTGGGGTCAGGCAAATGCGTATTCAACTGCTCTAAAATATTTAGAAGCAGAAGATTCAAAATTTGACCCATCAGTTTGATCAAGTTTAATATTTATTTATCTATCATTCATTCATTCATTCATTCATTCATTCATTCATTCATTCATCCATTCATTCAGACATGGTCTTGCCGTGTTGCCCAGGCAGGAATGCTGAGGCTCCATCATAGATACCTGCAGCCTGGAACTCCTGGGCTCAAGCAATCCTTTCCTGCCTCAGCCTTCAGAGTAGCTAGGATTACAGGCTTGCACCACTGCACTTGACTAATTTTTTAAAATTTCTGCAAAGATGAAGTCTTGCTGTATTACCCAGGTTGGTCTGGCTTCAAGTGGTCCTCTCACTTTAGCCTCCCAAAGTGCTGGGATTACAGGCGTGGACCACCCCACCCAGCCTAAGTTTTACTATAACCAATGAGGCAACCTCCGTGGAGACCAAGAAGAAGGGGTGGTACCTTCTAGACATCTTGACCTTTGTCTTCTGGTTCCGGGAGCTGTGATCTGCAGGAGAAGGAAGTCCTGTCTGCTCACAGCCCACCCGCCTCTGCGCAGGTCTCTCTGGGTTGGCTCATTGATGGTAGTGGTGGAAATTGTCTCAGTCATTACGTACAGCCTGTGAATCCTATTAGCATTTCTCCAGTTTTCTCTGTTTTTGTCAAGGGAACATAAATCCATTATCAGGTATTTCCACAAAATTGACCTCATATTTCCTTCCCGGGTTTAGTGCTCAGTTGCCAAAAAAGAAGTGAGGAGTCAGCAGAATTGATGTGAAGTCACTGGGAGTGAGTATCTTC